AGCTTTGCTGCTGTGGCTGTTTTCATCTGACTCGTCGGTTTAATTAGGACAGCGGTTCATCTTCAGTAAAGTTGAGTGTGAGCGTATCCCAGATTCCCCGGTCATTCAGAGAACAGAGTTCATCTCCTCCCTGCTGTGGAACGCAGAGTGCCAAAAAATCCCACCGGAAAGTTCCTGCAGATCGGAAATCCTGCTCTGTAAATCCCGACAGAGAACCAGTTTACCAGCCATGCTAACAAACAACTGCAGGCCTTCAGTTGGACCAAATGAGGTGCTACTCTTCCATGTTTCCTCTGTTTTCTTTCTCTGCATTGGGTTAAAGCCTCGCCGACTCCTTCTTTTCAGAAGACGTGCCATGAGGACTGGAAGTCCGGATGTTTCCCGATCTGAGACCTTCCCTTTTGAAAACAGGGCCGTTTCTTATCTCCAGCTTCATTTTGACGAGTCTCGATGTCTTTCTCTTGTTTTGTATCTTCTACATGTTTACATTGTATCTGCCCAAAAGATAAACGATATTAAATGTATTATCTTTGCTGTTTTCACTTGTCTCCTGCTCATTTGTGCTCTTCACCATTCATTAGATCCAGGTGTGTTGGAGGAATGACGTATCCAGGACAGTCCAGACCCAACATCAGGACTCAGCGCAAGGATGAAACAGAAATTGAGATAAAAGAGCAGCGAAGGTCCAGAGAAAACCTGTTAAACTGCTGAGTAAGACTCTAAAAATGAGATTTAATCCATGTCTAAACTTATTCCAGCTGATTTTCATAACACAAGAGAGACGTTGATTTGAAGAAGACAGACTGAACAAACTGAATTCCAGGTGCAAAAGAAAAATGTTTGACAGTCCACAGTGTTTGATAGCGAATTCAAATGGTTCATTCAAGCAGGAATGTGCAACCAGCAGCTTCTGAGCCACACTCTGACAAAAACCAGAAGAAATTATCTGTTTTCATGCTACGATGCACATTTCCTCAGAATTCCCAAAACACTAAGCGATATTAACACTTTATATATAGTTATTTTTGTTTTTTGACAATAGGTTGAAAACTGCTTTTAAAAAAATTATTTTCCAGTGAAATTAACATCCTATTGAAGAAAATATATTAAACAAAAAAACGCAAAAATTAATATATATCTTAATTACTATTATGAAAAAATAAGGCATATTGTTTAGAAAGATTCATGCTGATTTTGTGTCTTTACCTGTTTTTACTTCATTTAGCAAAAAAAAACTAACAGGGTGAAATACCTGGACATTTCCACTTGGGGGAGCTCTTTCTCCAGCCTGTAAATGACGGCGGTTTCCATGTGAATAAAGCTGCCAGCTGCAGGTCAGGACATTTGGAAGGAAATTCTTTTGGTCTTATTCTAAGAAGCTCATGATGTTGTTAACTCAGAGCGATGACGATCTGAGGCTCAGATGAACGACAGAAAACGCTCCGGCTTTCTTTTCTTCTTCTGACTCGTCTTCATGATCCTCAGTCAGTTCCTTTGTGTGGAGATGATCTGAATCAGGTTCAGGTAAAAAACTTCAGAACGCCTTCAGCTGAGCCTTCACGACCCTCTGACCCCAGACCTCTCGGCTGGGGTCAAAGGTCAGAGTCAGACAGAAATACAATAAAAAAAATTTGGCCAGTGGCAGGAATGGTTTAGAAAAAGTTAGTTGTGTTAACCCTGAGGCACTAATCATAAATCCTAACGCGCTGACATTTAATTTATTGGAAGTTAATGTTAAAGCTCTTCTTCAATTCCAATATCTGCTCTTGAAAGACTAGAATCCAATTTAACGTACGTTGTTTTATGAAGCGCTTTGCTTCTGTATTTATGTTTAAATCGTATTCTCCATGTTTGTTTCTTGTTTGAAATAAATTTATTTAAAAAAAGAGTCTTCACCCCCTTCAAAATAAAGGTATGAATATATCGCTCTAACTGTGCTGAACTTTATTCAACTGAAAGTCAAGCAACTCAGTTTTATGTATCTGGAAAAATTAATTGAGAAGCTAACTGCGCTAAGTTAGCAAAAAGGCTAAAGCGCTAAAAGACTAAAATGTGTCATTTTATTCACTTCCCCTCGACCGTCACCAAACTACAAGCACAGAATGAAAGAAATAGATGCATGTTACTTTCTACTGACAGTATTTTAATAATGAGTCAAAAACGTTCGGCTTAAACACATCTGGAAAGTTTATTAACCACAATCATCCAACTCACACTGCTGCTTTAAATGAAAAAGAAACAAAATACAGATTTCCGTGTCACCAAACTGAGCGCATATTCATCGTTTTTCCAGCTTTGTGCAGGAACGCCAGCAGCGTTCCACTCTGAAGTTTGCTTGGTCCCAATGTTCACTCTGGTGAACAAAAGGGTTTCATCTCAGGCGTGACGGCGAGATTTAAAGAAAGTGTGAATGTGCAGCTGTGTGAGTAAGCAGAGCTCCAAACATAACATAGATGCAGAAAAAAAAAGCAAACACATGAACCAAAGCAGTCAACACGTCAGTGATGGGCAAATAAATATTACATTATAGGTTCATAACATTCAAGGAGCGTCTTGAGTTCTCTGCATGAAGGATAAGAAAAACAGCCTCACACCGAAAGTATAAAATCAATTACAGGTCAATGCCTGACAGACAGACTGCAGGTTGGGGATTTATTCCAAAAAAATGAACAAACAGGGCAGCTTTTGATTTGGGTCTACAGAGTAAGGAGAGAGCAACGCTGACCTGAACACTTACTTACAAGATTACAATCTGTAGCCTCATAAAGTGACATTTCCATTACTATACACTGATAATAAGTGCTATAAACACAGAGGCGGGGAGTGAAGGTCCCTAATGCAGCTAAATAAACACCGTAAATTACAGCAAACACCTGAAATCGGGTTTTGATTGTACTGCAAACGTCTCTCCACAGCATCGGGTTCGAACAAACGTTTCTGATCTCATGGTTTCAATAAAGAAGAAAACAAGGAGAAATCTTAGGAGCAAATGTAAAAATGAAAAACACAAAAAGTTGGTTCTTTTTCCTCAGTTTAAGTGAATACATTTCTTTAAACTTATAAATTAACATTCAAATGTTGGTTAACACTTAAAACAGTAGCAAATTCAAACCGATGGAGGAGAAACGTCCCGGCAAAACCAAACCAAAACATGGCCGCCGTGGGCAGGTCCACGTTCAGAGCACCGCCCTTCCTCTCACTTCCACCACCGGAACATCATCGGTCCCACATGACCTTTGACCTCTACCACATTACGGTCCTCTGGAGGAGAAAAGGTGAAATTTAAAAGCTGTGTGAAGATCACAAATGATCCAACAGCTGGCAGAACCAGTTTGACGTTGATTTCTGCACATCTCTCCTAAGGTCTCATTACAGCACTGCATCAGGTTGAGGTCTGGACTTTGACTAGGTCATTGTAACATCTTGATTCTTCTGTTTTTCAGCCGCTCTGTCCCAGTTTGGATGGAGTTTCAGCCTCAGTTTGAGTCCAGAACACTTTAAAATGCAGACGAGTTCATGACATCTCTGCTTTGGTCTCATCCGTCCAGAGGACATCCGTCCAGAGGACATTGTTCCAGACGTCTTTCCTTCAGCTGCTCCAGCCACGATGCACTTAGGTTTTTTTAATTGTCCTCTTATGAAGCGTGAGCTGCTGACTGAGGCCTGGAGGCTCTGAGACGGCGCCCTTCGATGTTTTGTAATTTCTTTGACCTTCAGACTGTCTCGGGGTGGACACCGGGACGTCCACTCCTGGGAAGATTGGCAGCTGCCCTGAACGTTGTCCACTTGAAAAATGTTTCCCTCTGTAGAATGAAACGGTTTGGAGATGATCTTCCAGTTGTACTAAACTCTGATCTGACATCTTTCCATCCTTTGTTCTAAAAATCTCTAAAAAGTTCCAGTTTTTTAGAAGAGTTTGTGACTCATCCGATCAACAGCTTTCTTTTTTCCATCTACACACATTTCCATTTTGGTGGGAGGTTGTTTTATGCAGTTTTAAGACTTTCTACAGAATGGATGGTCATTTGTTTCCTGAGCTGGTAAACCTTCAAATTATTATTACATTTTCTTTTTACAATAAATATAAATTATATACTGAAAAAATCAGGGTATAAATCATAGAAATATTTAAAGAAATAATCGATTTCAACTTTTCTTTTAACCTTCCACTAAACTTTCAGTAAAGGATCTCTGCTGCTGATGAAACTTCTGTCGCAAAGTGTATCTTACATCTAAAATATTCAATAAGGAAAATGGGTTTCTACAAAAATAGTTAGATTTTGTGTGCTTTTTGTTTCTCCTCTGAGTGAACAGCTGTGGCAGTCGGAGCCACACAGCAGCATCGTTTGGTTCTCCATCGGGGTTTTTGGAACACAGAACCGGTTCTGTGCGTTAAGGCAGGAGGCTGATGGCAACAATCCTTTAACTCTTGGGATGGGGAGGATTCTTCATGTCAACACTCACAGTGTGTCAGGCAGAACTTTGTAGGTAGAATTTGGATAAAAGTGTACTGATGGTTGGCAGCTGGTCCTGAGGAGTAACCAAATGACTGTTTGTGTTTTCTGCAAGAAATCAGAGCTGCAGAGTTTGCAGGTTTGAGATTGTTTCAACAGATGAGTCTCAATAAATGCTGATTTCAGTGCAACACACCACACTGCAGAACAAGCAGCTAGCTAGCACGACAATAGAGCTACCGACGATTTGAAATAAAACTACCATCAAGGTACGTTAGATTATACGAGTACAAGAGAGGTTACAATCCTACTGGAGACTCAGCACCGCTGGGCGTCTCTAACACCAAGAATCACGATAAAGCAGCCGAGCTGCGCCCAGTAGCGCACAGACACAAGTTGTGACGTACTGAGGATGACGTGCAGCAGGCGTGCTTCACCAAGCAGAGGGTCAGTCAACACGTGAAGGAGCCGTCAACACATTCAGCCCCAAACTGACCCGGTAGCTTCAGCAAAAACAGGCCCAGATCACAACTAAAGGCTCCGAGACCAGATGAGTTCAGCTTCTTCCTCACTGAAAGCTTTCTCCAATCCCAAAGGAGGAAAACAAAGTCCCTGAACGTCACCGACTGTTGGTCAGACTGAGGCTCTTTACGTGCTGCGATACGTCTTGATGATGTCTTTGATCTGTCTCCTGCAGATGGGACAGCAGGCGTTGGACATCTCTTCAGCTTGAGGCCGCAGCTGTAGCAGAGACACATGTGTCCGCAGGTGTAGATGACCGAGTCCACGGCATTCTCGTAGCAGATGGAGCACTCGTCGGCCCACGGGCCCCGGCCCGACGGGAACGTGGGAGACTTGGGGAGGCTGACCGGGGAGCTGGGCGTCGTTCCTGCAGCGACAGGAAGAAACATCGTCATGTTGTTGATATGTGGTTTTCTGTTAAAATGACTGCGATTAATTAATTACACCCTGCAATTAACTTGATTAAAATTTTGATTAACATCAATGGAAAATTATGTGTGAGAATTTTCATTCAACTTCACAAACATGGAAAAACTTGTTGATAAATTCTCTATAAAAATATTAATGATTTGATTTTTGCTTCATCGTGTATTAAACACAGCAGATTTTCTTTTCTTTTGTCCCAGTCCTGTTTTCTTTTGCTTTGGGTTCTGTTGGGACATCTAGTGGTTACTGGGAGGAACAACAAAAATAGCATGAAAGTGTAAATCAGACACTGAATGGGAATTAGATGTGGATCTGTCAGTCAATAAGCTTCATGGCCCAGATCAAACATTTTCCTGAGACCCTCTGAAATCTCTCCACTGTCTCAGAAACACATCTCCATGTTCTCCTCTGGGTTGTCTTACCTCCTGCTGAGCTGCAGTAGGCGGCCGAACACAAGCCTCCGTTCAGGACCGGGTCAGAGATGCCGCTCCCCAGGGCGCTGGGCGTGTGGGGGGAGGAGGAGGGCGAGCTGGGGTTGGACGTGGCCCGTGGGTCCCCGACGTGAGTGGA